CCCGTGTAAGTATAATGACAAATAAAGTTGAATTAAAGAAGACTTTTCGTCTGTCCTGATTGGGCTGCCAACAGCTTATTGATCAAAGGATCTTAACCAGCTGTTTACTGCCGAAGAGAGAACCCGTTTCAATAACATCGCTGGGAGGTTTGTTTCCCACCTCACAACCCTTAGTGTAAAGCAGGTGCACGTCCTGGTTTCACCTCCTCCTCCGTAAGGAGAAAGACACGCCTCCTTGAACTCAGAATTCAGAATCAGGGAGGAACTCAGGGATTTTGCTGATCTACACAATCAGTCTTAGGTCTGGTCTTGCCCTCAGATCCTGAGACCAGGCTTGTGAACACACGCTGAGATTAGTCAAATATAGTAAAATCGGTCTTGTGCACAACTGTAAAAAATAAGAAAGCATTTCACTAGCGATTTGGTAAGTTGACATAAGCCTCGCCAACACTGTGTAAAGCGGGCCACTCAACCTGCAGCTCTTCCGAGCTACTTCACTTCAGTACTCCAATGCACCGCTGTCCATCTGAATCAGTGATCAGTACAAAACTAATACAGTCAGTATCGATCAAAATAAAACTGATGTGATCAGCATCCCCAACACCGAGATTCCTTCTTCACTGGAAGGGTGCATAGCAGATAAGAGGGAAAAAAAGAAAAGTACTTTCTTGGGACGTGAACACTTCTCTTTTTGGTTTACCTTTGAAATGAAGAAATTAATAGATAGTTTCCATCTCATTTCTGACAGTGGCAATGGGATCCTGGGATTGCTGGGATGTGTAGATGAAATAATCCCTGCAGTAAAATCCCAATGGTCTCTACCTCTTTCAGGGTTGTCCTCCGAAATGCTGGGATGAGACAGGTCCTGGATGATCTGTTCCTTCAGCACCTTGGGGTCATAGATCTGCAGCTTAGCCCCTTCATCCATCAAGTACTTGGAGATGTAGATACTTGAGGATTCTCTGAAAGAGACATCAGTGTTTCACATTAGCCAATGGGAACACTTGGCAGAACATTGCATGGGGGAGCTGGAAATGTCTTCACAGGTCAAAGATCAAACACTATTGTTTCTGCTGTGCTGCAGAATAGGAACTAAGTTCTTGCACTGTACAAGGACTCATCTAATTTATTCTGCAATCCACGGCTTTTAAATTACTTAATTCAATCAACGTTTAATTTAGTTGGTCTAAAATAATCCTCGTCTTTAACTATAGAAGATTGTAAGTTGCCTTTTCCCTGTGACGCTGAAAAGCCTCACTTTCGCTTGGTTGTACAGGAAGCCTTTAGCCAAGCTCTTGCTGTGGGCAGTGCTGTGAAGAAATGCAAGTCAGTGCTGACTCATGCACAGGTGACAATTTGCTGCTGGCACGATACTGTTCTCTGTGGTATAGGGCAGAGGTAATGGTAGGTCCAACAGCACACACACAGTGTTGCAGATATTGTTTAAACTGTGTGCCACAACCAAATACCCCTCCCCAGAAGAGCAATTCTCACTTCCAAAAACACACCACTCAGGATATTACTTGGAGATGGAACAGCAGAGTAACTCTTTAAATAAAACGGTATAAACGGAAGACTTAAAAAAGCAGATATAGGACAGTTGTATCTTTTTCCCCCCCTCAGAGTGTAGTTAAGCAGTGAACTGTTTCCCCAGCCCCATGGTCAAATCCGAACACAAGGGACCAGTGAGAAGTGGCCAGAAAAGACGGTGACAATTGCGTTATCACACAGAGACATGAAAGGGCTCGGCCAAACTGAAAGGCACATTCAATCACAGCTCGCCCTGTGAATAAAACAGGCACCAGAATGGCTTGTGCAGGATACACATTTGAACGAACCCTCGTCTCCAGTTCCACTGCGCAGGGAGTTAAGGATTAACCAGGGCAATGAAGACCAAAGAGCAATGGGACAAAGAGGAGCTCAGAGTGAGGAAGGAGCAGCGAGAGATGAAGAGATCGCGGCAGGTACCGTGTGTCCCCTGTGTCTTTCTTGAACGAAAACCCCAGAAGAGCGATCTTCTTCCCGGTGATGGTATTAAACAGGCAGTCGATAATACGGCAGGCAAACCGCCGACGCTGGTACTCGTTCATGTCTATTACCTGAAAACACAGAGAGAGAGATCATCTACAAGGCCCCGATGCATCACCGCAAATGTGTAATGCAGGCAAAGTGACAAAAGGCGCTGCCTGAAGGAAATGGAGACCTCAGGTAACTGGAATGGGATCCACATCCAAACTCAAGAAACTCACAAAACGCAAACAATCATTCTCTTCTACAAGCATTACAACGTCGAAACTTAGCTTATGGTAAAGCCATCAAACTTCATTGGACTTTTTAAAAATATCGAAAGAAAACGAATCATCATAATTGAGGTGGGTAGCTGCGTCAGCACGCGTAGGCTGCAAAGGAACAAGTGATAGAAAACATGTTTTCTTTGCTTCTCTTTTCAGCATGGAATAAACCTATTACTTAATCATAATAATAATAATAATAATAATAATAATAAACTTTATGTTATATAGCGCCTTTAAAGGTTGCTTCTCAAAGCACTTTACAGGATGACAATAACAATAAATAAGAATAAAAAAATAAATAAGAAGAATACACAAGATAAGACACAATTACAATTACAACAATAACAATAGAGGAGACCGTGGAAGGTGGTACTAAGAAGAGCAGAGGGTTGAAGAATGGAACCAGTTAAGTAAAGGCTAATCATAATAATGTTAGACCTGCCGGCAGTGTAGCTTTGCTATTTTTGCATCCTCAGCCTAAAAGCATGTCTAACACTAAAACAGTCTGTCCGTGCAAAATAAACTGGGGTACATCACACATAGCACAAAGACCTCATGAAGTTGAGAACGTTCAAGACGGTACCTGCTGCCAATACATGGCCACTTCAGGTAGATTCAGCGCCTCACAGAGATACACCAGGTTGAGGACATCCTTCTGAAAACAGCTACCACCAAACCCTGAAGAAGAGATTTTACAAACGCCTCAGCTTGTAAGCCAGGTTAGGTAATATTAACCTGGTAAACAACCTCTAGAATGTCCATCTACCTGTTATAAATATCAACTGAATATCATGCATCCCTGTGTATTTTAAGCTATGAAAGTTTGTGGCTTGACTTATGTATAATTCATGAGGTGCAGAAATTCTGCCATTTTTCTAAGCCTTTTTTATTTTAAATTTTATGAATCTGTATAAAATGGTAATATCATAATACTGAAAACACTCGCAGCTTGTCGGCCATATAGTACATCATTTGTCAAGATGCTATAAGGCAGACGACAGGACACAGCTTCATTACTGAGCAGATTAACCTATTTGCACCTGTACTGCAGCACAAGTCATTTGAAAGCAGCCTTGAAATTAGAGCAGGGATCCTGGAAAATGGAGCAGTGATTTGCTTCCTCAGACCCTTTTAAGAGTCTGAGCTCCTACCGAGCTTTAAAAGAAAGATTTTGCGACTAGTCTTTTGAAAGAAATTTAAAAACGTCACTTAACGGGACCTCTCCAGCTGGATTAGTGCTAGAAAACAAACACACAGGTCACACAAAGCGAACGACTTGCTCAAGAAGCGAGGGAGCTCAGTTGGGACAGCGGCTCACCCACGCTGGCCTTCAGGAATTTACTCCCAATCCTCTGGTCCATCCCAATGGCCTTGGCCACTTCCTCCACGTCCGCGCCAGTGGCCTCGCACAGCGCGCTGATGGAGTTGATGCTGCTGATCCTCTGAGCCAGGAACGCGTTGGCCGCCTGCAGGAGAAGACAGGCAGAGACAGTGACTGATGGGGTTTTCACCCACTCCACCAGACTACAGCCTGTCCCGCGGACGGCCTGTGAAATTTACACTGCCGATGCAGTTCTGCCTTTTTTCCTTCTGTTCAGCAAACAATAGGGGAAGGCACGTCTTCGCTTCAGCGCCAAGCCACTAACGTTGACAGTAAAGCGCATGAACTGAACTAAGCCTATTTGTACACAACTCAAGGAAAATCGACACTTAACACTAAGGGAAGCAATGTGATGTAGTATTAATTCATAACAGGCCATTAATGCAACTTAGTATCCACTGATACTTGCATTCTGGTTTCTAAGTCTTGGACAATGACTCGAGGAATGTTCTAACCAGTTTGGACAGCTCAGAGGACCAGGTGTTGGTGGTGATGATCTTGTTCCGGGGCACCCAGTGTTCGTACACGGCGCACAGAGCCTGGATTGCCCTCTGACCCTCCGGCGTCTCGTCCCCTCCGATCAGCACACGGTCTGGGTTCTTCAAGTCTCTCACCGCGGTGCCTTCTGCCAGGAACTCAGGGTTGGACAGCACCTGCCACAGCTCTTACTGATTACCAAGCATGTTCCGTTCAGTCACAGGCTAAATTCTTAATGAGATCCAATTCAAAAACAACCTGAGACTACAGAGGTAAAACCGTGGGCAGAGCAGATCTGAAATATCGCTGCCACAGAAGGAGCTCAGCTGTTGTCCTGCGGACACCGGATTTCTATGCATGTTTGCACCGAAAGACATGACTCCTATGGGACTCTCCTCTGCAAGGCTGCATCTTCAACTCTGATTTTGATGGGGGCCACCTCTGAGACGGTGGTGGAGCTATTAGGATAAGCTGGGAGTAGAGACACAGGGAAGCAGTTTGGGGAGGAGGTAACGAAGTGGTGTGGGTTCATAGAGACTGGTTGCTAAGCATAATAATGGACCAGATGGGCTGTCTTTTCATGCCAAGTGTTGTATCTGATCATGTTGCTTTGTTCACAAAAGTAGCCTTTGCCGCTCACCTGCAGGTTCAGATTCGGCTTGGTGTTGGCATCGAAGATTCTCCGTATGCTCTCGGCTGCCCGCACCGGCACAGTGCTCTTCTCCGTCACGATCTTGTAGCCATCCGACACCTCCACTATCCGGCGGGCGCAAGCTTCGATGAACTTCAGGTCGGCCGCCCGGCCTTTGCCCATCCCGTAAGTCTTTGTCGGGGTATTGACCTGGAAGAGCAAGGAGAAAATAACCCACTGCTGAGCACAGCCGCTGAAGCTCAGTGGTCGTTTTGTGGCAGCACCTCCTGGTGCAACTCGGAAGCTCGCTAAGTTTCACGGCCATTGGAAGGCATCCATTTAATATAGCCAGAGATTTCTTTCAAACAGGTCAAGTTGGTGAAACAGGTCCGTTCTAGAAATAAGGCGTGACAGGCCTTGCTCAGACGATGTGTGTTAACTTGTCCTCCTTCGTGATCATAAGACGTACAAATAACAATAGTCTAACCCATTTCAACACACTGTCACATCACATCTTTCAGAGCTGATATGACTCACATCACATCCCTACTGGGCTCATGGCAGTTTCAAACTGTGCTGATTTTGTTTGCAGGAAATGTGTCCGACAGACTCAAAACTATAGTTCAGGAGCACAAATTAAATGCCAGTATCCACCTTTTCCGAGCTTTAAACAAAGGCTACAGGCTTTCAAAAACACTGTCCCAATTCCCGACCTGCATTGTCACTTTGCTCTGTTCCTGTACACAAACGGGAACAGTGGTGGTCAGACAGAAACTTAGGACAGACTTGTAGTGATACTGTGAAGCAACACTTTTGATTACTAGCGGGGGAAAAAAAGATGTTACCAACATCAACAACAACAGAATGTTTTCTGTACTGCTTATTATTGTCCCTCTAGCTGATGTGATGGCTCTTATTCAATCGTTAATTGAAAACGACTCCAGTGAGGCTCATTATAGGCTCAGCAGGTAGGTTAGACTACGAGGATTGCCTTTGGCCACTGAGGACCTGACCTCTGTCCTTTCCTGGGAACACTAGCGGCAAACAGCAGCGTGAAGACTCACAGAAATGAAAACGAGGTCCGCGTCTCTGATGCCAGCGTCGATATCCGTCGAAAAGAAGAGATTCTTTCCTCTGCAGGACTCTACCACCTCCTTTAGACCAGGCTAGGGAGGACACATACACTTTAGCTGAAAATCCGGCCCGGTCTACTGTTCCACACACTGAGGGGCAGGGGTTACTTCTGTGCATTTAAGGCTTACGACATTAGCTTCAAGACTGCATTTCACAAGGTGAACTGGTGGCACACACAACAGTCAGACTTGCACTGTGGATCTGTACAATGTTTGATCTTGAACTTCTACAGTTTATCACTAAGAAAAACTGTTTGCTTGTTCATTTCCAAGTGGATTATGGTAACATGTATCAGATGCTAAGGAAAACAGAAAGATTATGTCTAGCTTTCTGGCTTCATAAAAAAATACTTAAGTCAAGTCAAGTACTTTACATTTGCTGTGCTTTCTTAATTTCATTTTAGTATACATTCAGCCGTTTGGACTTCAATTCAAGATAAAAAATTAATCTAAGGTCTCAAGCAAATTACAGGCACTCTCTATAAAGGCCTCTTCGTTCATCAAGGGGGTTAAATCCCAGTATATAAACCAAACTTTTGAGGGTTTTTTCCCCCACTCTTACCTCATAAATGGGCAGTGTCTCAGAGTTCCAGGCTTTTATTCGGGACTCGTTGACGTCCACCACTGTCACTTGGATCTCTGGGCACATGTGGGCAATGACACTGCAGGTCGGCCCGCCAACATACCCAGCTCCGATACAGCAGATCTTCTTAATTTTAAACATTGCAGTTCTGCGAAGAGAAATCTTACATCAATACAACCTTAGACTGCAGTCTTTAACCTCACACCTTCCGCCCAGTACAAAGCATCCCTAGAACAATTCTCACACAATAATCACCTTTGCTAACTCAATAATTAATCTGGCCGTCTAAAACTCTTGATGGTAAAGCCGGAACCTTTTAATTTTTGGAGGAAGCAGGAAGGATTTTGATTTTCTCACGTTTGCACCGCTATATTCACTGAAAGTGGGTCCTCAGCTGACAGGAACGTGGAACTCTGGCGTCTAAAGTAAAAAAAAAACTTTCACAGAAAGACAGAAAGGCCAACGCCTGGAGAGCAGAGTGGGCGTGGGCAGGTAAATTACAGAAATTAGCTTTTGTGTCTATTAAACATACCGTAAATCCTCATCTCCACCTATCTTTGTTTCTGATAAGAACGGCACGTGTGTTAAATCTGTTGCTATATACATAAATCAGGTGATACTGCACTAATGTGATGAACAGGCGTGAATCGAGGACGTACTCATGTAGAAATAATAATTATGGAATGCACGCGATTTCTAAAACAGGTTCTGGATAAAGTTTTGCAACAACCCATTAGATGTTTCGCAATAACTTTGCCTATTGTCGAAAAGATTTTCCTCCCCTCCCATTTTCTTAGCACTGACGTGCAACAAGAGTCCCAGCTTTCGATTCATGAAAATAAATCTTACACGTTTGGGACAGGGTAAAAAGTAGTCATAATACCTGTCAATGCAACTCTGGGTTGTTTTAAACTTTTAACCAAGCAGGCTCACCACTTCAAACTTCTTGCGTTTCCAACATAACACACTGAATCCTTAGAATAACCTGGACGATTCCTAGACTAGAAATAAACCTCCCAAAATTACAAGAAATAATAGTATGAGTGGCAGAAATACCACGCGTCTTACAACACGAACCCAATACAGAGATAAGAATGCTGAGACCTCAGGATAATTAATAGCTTTTTTTTTCCAGGCGTGTCAGTCACGTATGTTGCATCTGCTATCCGCTCTTGCACTTTCATGGAAATGAGCGACCCGAACTATTTCTCCCGTTAATAAAAACACGAAATCTGTCACCATACCTCAGTCAACAGCACCAGCTCTGAAGAGTCACGCCGAAATGCGCCCTTCCTGGGCACAGCGCTGCTTGAGGCAGGAGCACAGCAGCAGCCAATTGCAGTCCGCTACGTCACACTCCTTGGGTACACCTGTGACGTTTTCTCCATTAACCCTATAAATACTAAATTCTTTAAACATGGGAAATCATTTTGCGGATGAACCAAAAATTTCTAAAGAAATGGACAGTCACTTTACTGTTTGATTCGTTCTAACTATATTTGTCTGTTAGTTACTAAAGTGATACGTGTAATTAATAATAATAATAATAATTGCTTAGACTTACAAAGCGCTTTACAGGTAATGGGGACACCCCTCCACCACCATCAATGTGCAGCATCCACCTGGATGATGCGACAGAAGCCATAGTGTACCAGAACACTCACCACACACCAGCTATCAGACGGGAGGAGAGCAGAGTAATGAAGCCAATTCATAGATGGGGATTATTAGGATGTCATGACTGGTAAGGGCCAATGGGAAATTTGGCCAGGACACCGGGGTTACACCCTTACTCTTTTTGAGAAACACCCTGGGATTTTTAAAGACCTCAGAGTCAGGACCTGGGTTTTACGTCTCATCCGAAGGACGGCGCCTGTTTACAGTATAGTGTCCCCGTCACTATACTGGACGATTAGGACCCACATAGACTGCAGGATGAGTGCCCCCTGCTGGACTCACTAACACCTCTTCCAGCAGCAACCTTAGTTTTTCCCCAGGAGGTCTCCCATCCAGGTACTGACCAGGCTCACACCCACTGAGCTTCAGTGGGTTGCCAGTTGTCGAGATGCAGGGTGATATGGGTGCTGGCTATGTATAAGGAATACACTTCCTGTCATTTTCCACTCATCTTCCTTCATTTGTGTTTCAGTGTGGGGTCTGGGGAAGTCTATTTTGATTCTCCTTTGCCCCAGTCTGGGAGGATCTTGAATATTTTGAATCAGTTCACCTCATAGTCTTCTCTGTTCAGAATGAGAAGGTTTAGCTCCTTTAACCCCAGAATGCATTTAGTTTACCAGAACAAAAATGTAAAGTGATGACAATTTCTACAATTTCTTGATTTGAAGCATAGATGATTGGCCAACAGGGCATCATAAGGGCAGTGTGGTGGCTCTGTGGCTAAGGATCTGCGCCTGTGGCTGGAAGGTTGCTGGTTCGTATCTCGTGGGTGGCAGAGAAATCCTACTCCGGTGGGCCCCTGCGCAAGGCCCTTAACCCCAACTGCTCCAGGGGTGCTGTATAAATGGCTGAGCCAGCGCTCTGACCCCCAGCTTCTCTCCCTGTCTGTGTGTCTCATGGAGAGCAAGTTGGGGAATGTGAAAAGACAAATTCCTAATACAAGAAATTGTATATGGCCAACAAAGTGATCTTATCTTCCTGTT